ACACACACACACACACACACACACACACACACACACTCACACACACACACTCACAAACACACACACAAACATGCACCCACACACAGGCTTACAATCACATGCATAATATAAATGCACTGTAATATAAACAATAATAATCTTAAGCTTCGACAAGGGTGGTTTGTTGGTGGTGCTCTGGTGTGGTAGGTCCCTCCTTTCGTATCAAACATCTATCCTCCTCATAATCTCTCCTCCTTCAGTTCTGTATATATATATATATAATGTTACTTTCTAATAAACATCTCTTATCTTCGGCACTGTTAGGACAGATACAAGAAAGTCAAAATTATTGGTATTCCTTCTAAAAAAGACTTATTAATGTCTGATGGGTTAATAGCTTTTTGAAAAAACAACATCATCATCATCAAGTGCCAGATCTGTTGCAAACATCACCAATCATGATTCTCCATTCATTCCTTTGCTCAGATGCTCTTAAAAAAGCAATGTTACCCTGATCTTTCCCTATCACCTGTCTGTTTAGGTTCTCTAAGTAGGTTGCTATGGGCCTATACCCCTGCCTCGTTTGCATTCAATTTTGTCAGTGAAAGCTGGACATTCAAGACCTTTTTGTCTGTTCAGGGATCTTAAAACTGCATTTGTCGTTTCGTGATTATTTTTAACTGCGAGCGGCCCCATGTGGGCTTCATCAAGCAGTTCCTCGTTTCATTTCTTTTTCTTCTAGGATATTCTCAACATTCTCACTGTTGCTTCTATATCACTTTCACTGTCTTTAGTGATTGTCTAGCATTCACAGCCGTATAAAGAACCCCCTCCCCCACCCCCACACGACAAATACCATAACTTCAAACTCTGACCCTGTGTCTGTGGTGTAGCAGTTAGGCACTTCGCCAGCACACGCAGGATACCCAAATATGAATCCTGTGTGTGGAGAAACATTTTATCGGATATATCGGTCTTTCTGCTGAGATGTTGTTTCCTTCTTAGCCCAGGGTGGCTCTGATAAACAAGGTGGAAGCCTGCCTCCTATGTGAACTTAAGGTACGGCCCTAAAGTTATTGTGTGCTGATGGGGACATAATAAACTGGCCCTGATAAACAAGGTGGAAGCCTGCCTCCTATGTGAACTTAAGGTACGGCCCTAAAGTTATTGTGTGCTGATGGGGACATAATAAACTGGCCCTGATAAACAAGGTGGAAGCCTGCCTCCTATGTGAACTTAAGGTACGGCCCTAAAGTTATTGTGTGCTGATGGGGACATAATAAACTGGCCCTGATAAACAAGGTGGAAGCCTGCCTGCCTCCTATGTGAACTTAAGGTACGGCCCTAAAGTTATTGTGTGTTGATGGGTACATAATAAACTGGCCCTGATAAACAAGGTGGAAGCCTGCCTCCTATGTGAACTTAAGGGACGGCCCTAAAGTTATTGTGTGCTGATGGGGACATAATAAACTGGCCCTGATAAACAAGGTGGAAGCCTGCCTGCCTCCTATGTGAACTTAAGGTACGGCCCTAAAGTTATTGTGTGCTGATGTGGACATAATAAACTGGCCCTGATAAACAAGGTGGAAGCCTGCCTCCTATGTGAACTTAAGGTACGGCCCTAAAGTTATTGTGTGCTGATGGGGACATAAAGCACCTGGAGAAAAAATTTATCACATTTTGGGGTAAAACTCTGAAGTGTCATTGCCCCCCTCACCACATAACCATTTCTCTCTATCCCAGAATTACAAAGCTCCATCTTTTCAGTGCCTAGTTTTGAGAAATTTGATGTTAAAAATGTTGAGTTTCACAAAATGCTAAGCTTTTACGAGTACACTTTTAAAAGTATCTTCGTAGATACCCTGAATAATCTTACGATTTTGATAGAGCAAATTATAGAACAGTCATTTGTTCCTGGCCTCAAAGTTTTAGTAACTCAAAACGGTCCAAAATGTCAGACAGATCTTTGTAATTCTGAGGTAGTGCTTTGTGCATTTTCAAATTGAGTCATCGACACATCCTTAAGGTTGTTTCCGCCCGCCATTTTCTTTCTCTCCCCAGACGTGGACGAGTGCCTGCAGAGCCCGTGTGAGCAGATCTGTGTCAATGACCTCGGCTCCTACAGCTGCGGCTGCAATGAAGGTTTCTCAGTCGACCCTGCAGACGCAAGCCAGTGTAGTGGTGAGAGACAGATGTTTTTAGACAAATAAATTGTACAGGCTTGACGCTTCTAGCTACTCTGTAAGGTTATATAAGTCGCGGAGCCCTCGAGTTTGACGTCCTTCTTCGACGAGACTGAGTCAGATGGGAGAATTTGTGTAAAGTACCTTTGCCAAGGACGCAACATTGGGCTGAGGTGATCCTCCAAACCCTGAAACTGCAATTTTATGATAACGATAAGTGTGATAGGGTAACCACTAGACTACCAATGTTACTGTTTGAAGCTTATTCACTGCTGACTTGTTGATTTGAAAAGAACAGTTTTAGTAAGAGGAAGGGGATGAGAGGATGGTGCGAAGTT